GTCATATGGGCCTTCCCATGGAAAAAACAACTTAGGAGACATCCCTTTGGTCTTCCTGGGATTATACCTTGTCTCCTGGTACAAAGCTGACTTCAGTAGATCTCTTATCATAAGTTAACTTCGTCGAATCAGCAGACGTTTTCAAGTTTGTACGCACTTGATGGTGAATATCATCCATCCTTTCCGATAACACTTTCACAAACTCTGACACATTCTCAGGCAACTCTTTATGCTTGGGTACCCTTTTTGCACTGCATGTACGGCACCATTCTTCCACATCTCGCCTCATACCTATCCAGTAAAATCTTTGTCGTACGTGACTCAATGTCTTCTTAACTCCTGTTAAGCACAACTTCCCGTAACTTCCTCGGTATAACTGTTTGCCAAGTCATCACTTTCCTATTTGCAGTTTCCCATCTCCGGACAAGAATACCATCTGCAAGCTTTAACTGGTTCCATTCCACCCAATAGTGCTTTGTCACAGGGCTTAGACTAGACACCTCCTCCCAAGCAGGGCACGCAACATTTGCTTTGAAAAAATCAATTATAGGCTTCAAATCTTGGTCTTTCTCCTGTTCTGCCTTGATATTTATATTTGGTTCTACTTCACCATCATCAACTCTTCCAGTCGGCTTGACTTCAGCTTGATGGCACCTAATTAGTTCAACCTCTCTTTTAACAGTTACCGGAACTTGGCCTTTGTTGTTCCCAAACGTCATTTTATCAAAATCAATTACAAACTTTCTCGGTAGTAAATAGTCCAATCCTAATATGCATTCGTCTTCCATGTCAGCCAAGTATACTTTCTGTCTGTCCTTTATGCCCATGAGCTCAATAGTTACCCACACTGGTCCCCACAATCTTGTAGAATGTGCTGTCACACTATAAAGCTTCTGTATGGCTTCTGGTACTCCATCGTGATTTAACACCTTGATGCTCACAAGGGTTTGCTGAGACACAGAGTCTATGACAAAGTTGCACCTTTGGCCATCCAGCTTTCCTGTCACATAGACACTGTGTGTGCTTGGTATTTTACACCTAGCTGTTGGGACTTTCATGATGGAGGTTGGTGGGCGTCG